TGCACTCTACACCTGTGCATGCCAACAAGCTGCTGGGGCAACGTAGTAGCAAGTTCCGCACATCTGATTCAGCTTCTGCGTGCGTCCTCGCATTGACAGTGGCACGCACGTCAACAAGCAATCTTCCACCACTCTTGCGCCACCCTCAAGCCACCCAACGGTTTGGAATGCCCTGGACTCCTTCGCTATCCTTTCCGGCAATGTAAGTCGTAGCCAAGCCAAAGTCGATCAACTTTAGTCGTTCTTGTGCCGGCGAGGCAAAGACCCAGTTCTCCAACCTGAAAAGACAGCAGAGCTTGCACAGTGAGTGGCGCTAAGAGACACATAGACATAAGAATTTTGGGCAAACTTACTGTAAATAATGTTTTCGCGAAATCTTGACGCCAAAAAACTTATGATCTTAAATATATTGATTGGCTATTGGGTCTGATGGGTAATGTGTTTTGGGCCGCCAAATGAGAGGATTTTTAAATGATATCTTTATATTCGAAGATCGATAGGGATCTATGAAATCGATAACATAATATTCAACGAATTCACTCTATCATTCATAAGAGAAAAATACTACAGAGATATTATCAATTAGAGATACATAAGAAAGGAGACGTTCAAGATGAGAATATTGGAATGGGGGGGGGGGGTGGTGGTGAATGGGCTTTGATGAGATACTAGGCTGAGCAAGGTAGAGAAATTCAATGCTAAGAGAAATGAAAGACACATAACTAATTCAATGGATAACAAGTCATTAAGATACAGAAGCGATTCGAAATGCAAGAGCCCACTCCATTGATCCTGGGAGCTTGATGTCACGATGTACCATGCCCATGCTGTGGATGTATCGTATGGCAGCAGCCATCTGCTTGACAAGCACCGCGATTCTGGCCTGCCAACTGCTGAGCTTCAAATGCGCACAGCCGCAGGCATGACTATAAATATCGACCACATGCTACACGTGACGAGGTGGATTTACGCTCAGCCTCCGAGTCCAGCATGGCAAGCCCTTGCCGCTGCACGGATGAAGTTCCGGCGGCAAGTTCGAAGAGCTCACCTGGCGAATCGAAAGAGACCAACCCCACGTCTGTGTTTCAGCAGAAACCTCAGGAGCTGCGCCTCCAGAACATAGCTCCATGCAAAGCCAGATGTCGCCATTCTTTTCTACGAAGGCCTGCAGGAAGTAAGAGTTAGACGGTCACACTCTGCAGTTCGAAGATTGCAATTGAGTGAGCAACGGACATTGATAGTGGCCGAACTGCACGACACAAGGACCCGCAATGATCCGAAGCCAAGCTTGAAAGCCGAGCTGGGAAGAGTATCATCGCAGAGGCGTGCAGCCGTTTTTCCCCAATATGTCCATACTGTAAACGATCACACCACCTGGGGCGCGGCCTGCAGCAGACGGCAGATGTTGGGGTGCGAGAGGCGAAGATAAAGATTGACCTCGACAAGCAGTCATGCTGCAGAAGTGTAGTGAGTGTAGTGCATAGGCGCACGAAGCATCACCAAACTCACTCTCGTTCCCGCCTCGTCTGGCAACAGGCCATCTGCACCGTCCAGACACTTTGCGGCCACCCTACGCCCACTTTTTCGGTGCTTGGCCACCAAGACTGCGCCATGCATCCCAGTGCCCAAGACCTCCTGAGGCCGGGACGCACAATCATGCGCACATTTTACATGCCTTCATCGTTCACCATGTCACCAAGAAAGACTAAGAGAGAAAGAGAGAGAGAGAGAGAGAGAGTGAGTGAGAGTGAAAGTGAGAGTGAGAGTGAGAGTGAGAGTGAGAGTGAGAGTGAGAGTGGGAGTGGGAGTGGGAGTGGGAGTGGGAGTGGGAGTGGGAGTGGGAGTGGGAGTGAGAGTGAGAGTGAGAGTGAGAGTGAGAGTGAGAGTGAGAGTGAGAGTGAGAGTGAGAGTGAGAGTGAGTGAGGGAGAGAGAGCGAGGGAGAGAGAGTGAGAGAGAGTGAGTGAGTGAGTGAGAAAGAGTGAGTGAGTGAGAAAGAGTGAGTGAGAGAAAGTGAGTGCGAGAGTGAGAGAGTGTGAGCGAGAGAGAGAGGAAACAAAAAGATAAAGCAAAACAATTGGTTCGATCATCCACACCGTGCCATCCGCGGGACCCTTTTGCAGAACTTTTGGCGATGCTTGGGTGTGGGCGGGACCAAACCGTGTGCGAAGAGGCGCGGAGAATGGCTGACAACAACCCCACGTGGGAATTAAAGAAAAGAACAAAGGGATAAATAACGAAACAAAAAGAAAGAGAGAGAGAGAGAGAATGAAAGATAGAAAGGGAAAGAGGGAAGAGATGGAGGGAGAGGAAGGAGATGGGAAGGAGAGCGAGGGAGAGGGAAGGGAAGGAGAGGGAGAGGGAGGGAGAGGGAGGGAGAGGGAGAGGCAGGGAGAGGGTGCACCTCGCCGACGTCATAGACATCCTGGGTAAAGCTCATATCATATCTCATATGCGACGCGTTCGCAATGTCTCATACGCCCCACTGCCACTCCACATGCAGTATGCCAAGCTGCGTGAAAGGAGATGTGCCTCAAGACTTTGCTCTGAAGTGGCAGCGGAAGCTCCAACTCCTACGGGGCGGTGCTCAAACCCAGAACCAAACCACGGCGCAAGGTTCACAGCTGCGGCGACTCCCGTGCTCGACAGTAGATTTAGTGCGGGTCCAAGTCCACTCAAATCTTTCGGGCTTTCGGCGACTCCAGCTCGGCAACGAGACTGGTGGGGTGGTTGGGTATGCAAGGAACGAGCATGTACTGCAAGGCATTGGCCAAGGTTGCCTGTGCGCGAGGCTCCATTGACTCATCCACAAATGCTGATCGGGACGACCGCTCGTTGTTCGCAGCAACACTGGCCCCAAAGGAGGTGAATGTGTTCACGAGCATCGACCGGACCTTGCCATCAGTTCTTCCAATTCCGCGATGCTGCGGCACAATGCAGGGCCGTGAGAACTTACAATCCTTTGCAAACAAAACCAAATTGTTTAAAACCACTGCCACATCTCGGCATCAAAGTGCGCTGGAGCCGATTCCTTCGGTGACGTTCTGACAGCTCACAGCTCTCAGCCACTCTCGGCGCAGAATGCGCCGCATGCCCCAGAGAACCAGGCATCCCACGACGCTGGACACCTTCAGGGAGCGGGGGGGGTCCATAAGCTAGTGCTCTGATATTGCAAAGATCTAGTTTTAGATAACAAGATATTATGAAGGTATAAAACTAATAAGAAGAACACTAACTAACAATCGTAGTACAACCATCGTATACTAGTTTAATAGTATAAAATATAATCATATAATAGTCTAATAATAGATTAGGAAATAGTATAATCATGTATTAAGTTATTGAAATAATAGAAGAATAGAATGAGATGTTAATAACATAGTATAATACTGCACTAATATGGTGATATAACAATATAACAATATAATCATGCAACAATATACGGCTTTAATCAAATAACAATATAGCAAAAAACACACTCATATAACCATCGAAGAATATTACAAAAAATGCAAATACATTAAAAGAATTATAATCATACAAAAATAACAATTTTGTAATATACGAATTTAAGAATACAACAACATATGCATTGACCCGGGAAACTGGGTCCCCTTTTCCGGGGGCGAAGACGAAATTCGAAGACGAAATTTGAAGACGAAATTCGGCCCAGCCGAAATTCGGCCGAAGACGACATTCGGCACTGAAGACGAAATTCGGCCCCTGAAGCCTAAATTAGGCCCTGAAGCCGAAATTTGGCCCCTGAAGTCTAAATTCGGCCCCGAAGACGAAATTCTGCCCCGGAGACGAAGTTCGGCCGCTGAAGCCGACATTCGGCCCTGAAGCCTAAATTCGGCCCCCGAAGACGAAATTCGGCCCCGAAGTCGAAATTCGACCCTGAAGCCGAAATTCGGCCCTGAAGCCGAAATTCGTTCCCACGAAATTCGGCCCTGAAGCTTAAACTCGGACCCTGAAGCTTGAATTCGATTTCGGTCCCCCAGCCTAAAATGGCATTGAATTTCGTCTTCAGGGCCGAATTTCGGCTTCAGGGCCGAATTTCGGCTTCAGGGTCGAATTTAGGCTTCCGGGCCGAATTTCGCCTTCAGCAGCCGAATTTCGGCTTCAGGGCCGAATGTCGTCTTCAATGGCCGAATTTCGTCTTCAGGGCCGAATTTAGGCTTCAGGGCCGAATTTAGGCTTCAGGGCCTATTTTAGGCTTCAGGGGCCGAATTTCGTCTTCAGTGCCGAATTTCTTCTTCAGGGCCGAAATTCGGCTGGGCCGAATTTCGTCTTCGAGTTTCGTCTTCGCCCCCCCCTCCGGAAAAGGGGACCCACTTTCCCGGGTCCCTGTATGTAACAATATACTAATACAATAGTGTCATAATGGAAGAATTACAATGTTGTCATAACGGAATAATAGGTTAAAAATGTAGTATGATGACAAAAAACCATGAGCGATATTTGATCATATACAGAGAGCAATGTATTAATGTAAGCATACAGTAATAATTTAGTAGCAGAATAACATCAGCCAAGTTGCAGCAACTTTGCTGGTCCACTGGCGTATTCGATTCTCCATCTGCTTCTTGTACATGGCGCTGAGTGTGTCCACTACGCGTAAAAGTTCACCAATCTGGCACACGGTGGCGTATGGCTAGCTACTACCAAATGCTTCAGCACAGGAAGTCGAAGGATTCGTGCTGTGGCTGCTGTCCTCTGCTATGCTGGCATGTATGATTCGGACTCGAACAAACAGGTCGATCGATATTGGCGATCCGTACAGTGCAATCGACCTTCTGTTGTGTCCTCGTGACTCACAAGCCTACACAAATGTCGATGTGTGCGGAACCCTCTGTAACAGCGGATAAAACAGAAAGGCTGCCGCTCTTGAGCCTGCTCTGACACAGATGTAGCTCAACAAGCCTGTGTCCAAAAAGTGCCAGAAAAGAAATGAACCTGCCGGAAAAGCATGCGCAGCCGTAGAGCTTTCTTGGAGCCCTGCTTTCCCATGGCCCCTCCAAATAGAACCGAGACGGCCTGTGGAAAACAACTCTGTAACCTGGCACACCCGGCACCATATGATAGCTTCAGCCCCTGCAGATCAGGCCTCTCCAGGCTGGCCGCCGTCGCACATCTCGTAGCACGTGTGTAACCTCAGGGCTCTGCCCCATGATTATCTTTGGCTTCTTAAGCCGGGGGGCAGTCGAAGAGGGCAGAGGCCGGAGCTTGCAGAATGCCTTCTCCAGAAGAGGTACCCACCTCAGAAGTGAAGCCCAGGGCCAACTCAACAAGGGGGGGCAAAGGATGGAAGTGAAGCATAGTGAAGCTACCAGGTGTCACCACACTCTTGGGCACGCACACTTCATCGTGATCATAGCTCTTGGCATACCTTATCATGGTCCGGCATGCCTTTGCTGGTCTGGCTGAAGAGCCTCTCAGACTCCTGCAGCATCCGACCATACTGGTCGACGGGCATCCAATCCTGTGAGGTGATCAGCAATGACTAAGTGGCCACTGCCATGCACCACCTGCCCATGTGGCTACTGGTTGCAAGTACTTTTGCCCTCTTCTTAAACTGTAAGCTGTGAGGCCAACGGCAACTCCTAACCGATACACACAGCACGGTGGCGAAGACGACTTGCTGGCGGAGGTCATCAATGATGGTGTGGTACCACTCGCCGTCCAGGAAGAACCTGCAAGTAAAACAGCAGCTGATACAGCCATTCTATCAGTGTTTCACGTAGACTCTCCTCTCTCTCGAGGTACTTGACGTGCCAGTATACTCACTTGAACTACAAGGTGCAGTGGTGCCCCTCAGCTCGTCGGTTGCGCGGTCCTGACACCGTACACACCAACGTCGATATCGTGCTCCATGAAGCACGACCGCACATTCTCCGGGTCTTCGCCAACCTGGATGTCCAATTCAGGTGACTACAGAGAGCCAGCGGACAGGGTCTGGCATTGATGCAAAGGTCTGGGTGCTGCAGCCATTGCACCCAATGCCTTGGTAACGCAAGGCCGGCGCGGCGCTGCAGCTCCACAAGACCACGGTCAAAATGGAATGTACGATCCGAGCCTTTTTGTCGCAAGTGCGTAGTGGTCTGACTTCCAGTAGGAACGACAGTAAGCGAGGCACGCTTCTTCGCTGAACTTCTGCCTTCCTTCTGCTGGACTCGCAACCAGGCAGCCATGGTCAGAATCAACCAACATGAACCGCATTGCTACCGCAACACACCATGACAGGTTGCAATGGCAGGACCTATCGCTGCTTGGCATGCGACAACGAACATGAGCAGGCTGGAAGTCCTACTGTCGAGGTGGAGGTCTAGTTTCGGTGTGAAAACTGATAGCCCATTGGCGAAAATGTCAAGGATTCATGATTCATGGGATAGGCCTGATGCAGAGATGCAGCTGTTGCCAAAGGTCGCTGCCTAGCTACTAACGACTCCTAAACCACAACGTGCAATGACACAGCTGCAGAAAATCAGGCTCGCAGGCCGAAAGTGAGGCCTGCTTCCCAAGGCTTCAGAGATTCTCGTGGAGGCATCTTGCTCATCCACATGAGGGCACATCCCGGCGTATTGTGGCACCTTCTTGCTTTCCCCCTGACTGAGTCCAACAATATTCACCGGTACACTACATTGTCACTACAGTCAGGCTAAGCAGGTACCGGCTGGGAAGCCTCCAAAACTCCAAAACTTAGACAAAACTTCGACACGTATCGGAGTCTTAGACTAGACGATTCAGACGCTCATGTCTGCGGCTTCGACAAGCCCACATGCAGCAGCCATGGCCTCGCAGCAATGCTTCAGCACGAGAAGAGATCTGTGTCGCTCCAGTTCTGGCAGTATGAGCAGGCAAGAGATGATGGCAAGAAATGGCAAGAAATGGCAAGAACTGGCATGAAATGGCAAGAGATGGCAAGAAATGGCAAGAAGCATGGTGCAGCTCAAGCTCTTGCAGCATCTTGCAGCCGAGGTGCTTTTTTACTTGGCGCCTAACTCGGCAGCTCGTGGAAGAGGAGGGAAGGAGACGAGCACCACCAAGCAAATGACCCTGAGCAAGGCAGGGCTGCTGCCCTCTGACCGTGATAAGGGCAGACGAGAACATCCCGCATTGCAATCGTGTCCAGACTGGGGGTTTGCAAGAACAAGGGACCCCGAAAATAGACCCCCAAGATGTAGGATCCCCTTGTAATCAGGACCCCCAATAAGGTACCCCCTTCTTTCGTAAGCCCCCAGATGCCGCTTCCATGTCGAGGCCGGGGGGCGCCATCGCAGGCATGAGAGGAGCGGCAGCGACAGCCACAAGCAATGTCAGCCAATCCGGGGCAGGCTTGGGCAGTGGAGCGCCTGGCAGTTGCGGCAGTTGCCCGGTACATTCAAACACACCCAACTCCAAAAATCACTCAGAAACGTTGCACCGGTCAGATATGCAGCCTGTTACACAGTCGACGGTGGTGCCAACCTCTTCACACAGCCCAGCTGCACAAACCCAACTCAACACCCGTCGTCGTGCCAGTGTTCCAAAACAACCAAGGAGTTGGCGACTTGATCCACACCAGGGCAGCACACATTGTAGTTGCCATGGGCACCATTGGCCCGGTGGTGGCCTCCAAGCACGATTTGTCTTGCCCGTCGTGAACATGATGGGAGTCTTGCAGGAGCCTTCGTGATTGACGCGCAGGTATTTGAACAACGCAGAGTCACGCAGGCCAGCCAGAACCCAACTGGGAGCCCCAACCTGCCACAACATGAGGCTTGCGCATGCATTTACAAAAGTACCCTCTCCAAACACTCAAACCTCCAGCGGAACGTCTTCCAGGCCGTGCATGTTCGGATGCAGAGCCTGAGCAATTCTCAGTGCCAGCAAGTCTGTTGGAGTGCACTCCTTCGGTTTGGTCACGCTTGCGACAGCTAGCGATTTGAATGTTAGGGGCTGTGCTTTGCAGATGCATGCAGTAGTCACGCAGTCTACATCTTCCTGCTTGTGTCTGCTCTGCGCTGTCTTGAATGCGAATAAGCCAGGTTCGTTCCAAACCAGAGCATGGAGGAGCATGGCGCTCAGCACCACCGGGACAATGACCTTAGAAACTTCAACATGCTGATGAATCTGATAATATAATCAATGTAATGATGTAAAAATGTTGTATGAAAAATATAAGAGTACAGTAGTATAAAAATATTTTTATGTGCTAACATTAGCCGATGCAAGCCGTGGGGCCTAGGCTTTGCCGGCCCTGGCTCATTTCACCAAGCCACATAGCCCGACCAGCCCAGGAATGACAAGGTAGGGTAGGCCATCAACCTTTGTTGGTCCATCTTACATTTGAACACCGGCTTCTAAGAAAAATACAAGCATTGCGTCAGACAAGGCACATTACGCCGGCGGACATTTTCAAGCTGCCGTCCCAAGGGAAGCAGGTACCTGCGTGGCCATGCGCAGAGAACTAATGTCGTGAGGGCGAGCGATCCATGGATACCCTAAACCCTATACCCTACCTCTCCAGGGATCCATGTCCAAGATCGGATCACGCCCATGTTCAACGTCGAGACTCATGTCGTCATCGATCGTCTCCTGTTTGGGCAGCCGAGTGACCGCGTGGCTCGATGCTTGCGACCGCACGCCCTTTCCGTTCTATTCTTGCGTTCTTGAACAGGATTCCTATGAAGCGTTGTGAGATTTTGCTAAGACGCCAACTATTTCTTATCAACACAATGCTCGTGCGATGGGCTTGGAAAGGATTCATCAGGTCCTTCCTGGCAAGCTTTGCAAGTATTTCAGACAAGCATGGGGGTTTGCGGGCGTGCAGCCACCCCCATTTGCAAACACAATGCGCAAACGGGGTTGGCCCCCTTTTGCAAGCACAATGCTCGTATGACTGTCGAGGATTAAAAATGCCGGGGGGTTGGTGCAACACAATGCTAGCAGGACGCGTTTGGAAAGGACTACAGATTTGGAAAGGATTCCTATGCCTCTAAGGCAACTGCTCTTCTGATTCTGGGCATGAATCTTGCTTTCTTTCATTCTTTTTTCTCTTTCTACTTCTACAATGGGGGCTTGAAGGGTGCAAGCGCCCCCCGCGCACTGGGCGCAGACTACACGACAAGAGGCTCAGGACAACCACTCGCTCTAGTGATTCGACCCGCAGACTTCCACTACTCTTTCTCCCACGTTTCCTTCCTTCCTTCCTTCCTTCCTTCCTTCCTTCCTTCCTTCCTTCCTTCCTTCCTTTCTTTCTTTCTTTCTTTTGTCTCTGTTTCGGTCATCCTTTGGCTTCTTCCGTCCTCTTCTTCCTCGATCCTCCCCAGCCCCAGCCCCTCTCTCTTCGAGAAAGCAGTGGTTTTCCTACCCCCCCCCCCCCCCCCCCCCCCCCCCCCCCCCCCCCCCCCCCCCCCCCCCCCCCTTCAAACAAAAAACAATGTCAAGCCAAGGGGTCCCGATGATGCTCCACGTGACCATCACCACGGAAAGTACTCAGGTTGAAGGTCGATCGAACCGCCCGAACCTCAAGCTGACACTAAGCTGACAAAAGCTGCAGCGCTCTACAACCACGCAACATCGGAAATTTGGAAAACCGCAGGCTTCAGACACCGTACTGCAGCCGAGCAGCAGCGTCGACTTTGTTCAGGCCTTGGAATGTCGTGATTTGGCCAGTCAACCAGAACAAAACATGCACGCGAAAGGGCGGCTAAATATCGCAGAGCAGAGCATGTCCAAGTGGCCCAGATGCTGAAAGTACCGATGGTACACATACTCAGCAAAGGACCTGAACGCATGACAGTTTTAAGCCCGGGCCAACGAGATCTGGTCTCTGAATTGAGGTTTTCTCTGGTTCTCCGATGTTCTCTCCGATCTCAGCGGGGCCCTCTGAGACTCTGAGTGACAGGCATGATGGCGTAGAGTGCTGCCAGGCCGGAAATGGCTTGGCCAGCAACCAGTACAAGTCCCATCAGCCCCATGCTCTCCATCGCAGGGGTTGCAGCGACCTTCCACAACAAGAACTTTGCTTCAGCTGCGCTCCAGGCAGTTCTGTCAGTTATTTCTCAAGCACCTGCAACAGCGACTCCGGCAGCTACAGGTGTCCAGCTGCACTCTGCCTCTTCGATGCCAACTGGCATGGCTGGCCGGCTTGACAAAAGCCGATCTGCAGCAGGCGCTGATGACCTCACGCGGCTATCACCCAACCTCAAAACCAACATGCATAGAATTACACCGTGCCACGCGCAGAGGACCGCCATGAGCCATGTCCCACAAGCAGCAAATCAAGATCACAAATCACTGCTCAAGCAACAGAGAAGAGCCCCCTCCCTTCCCCGGGACGGAGCCCAGGCACCTTGTCCGCTGCTCCAGGCTCACATGAGAAGCACGTCCCACTCCAGCGAAGGCAAAGCAAGGCAGCGCTTTGTAGATGCCAAAGACCGCCAACTAGGATGCTAGGACACGAAGAGACTTCTGTTTTACCGCACTTGCTTCCAAAAACCAGTAGAGAACTTGCTGGAACTTCGACGCTGAAGGCAAGTCCCAGATGCTCCAGCGACAAGAACGATGGATGAAGAAGAGTTCCTGCATTGCCGCGAAAGGCACCAAAATGCATATAACTTCACAGCGACTGACAATGGCAATTTTTCAGCGTTGGAACATGAGAAATCCCAGGCGAAATTTTCGGCCGGTGCCAAACATTCCAGCACAACTCCTGTGACACCAAACGATGAAGAGGACACCCCAACATTGAGCCAGGTACGGTAAATGGTGTGACAGTAACACCCGGTGCATCTGTGCAGGCGTCGGTCTGCGAAACGAAACCAGCCCATGATGTCAATGTCGGTTTGGCATGCTTCAGTTCTACTTCACCCCCATCTCTGCCTCCTGCCAGGAGCCATTGCCAAGAAACGCTGTGGGGATCAGACTGTCGATTGGCGAGCTACCGTCGAGCGAAAATTGCTGGCGAGCGCCCATGTAAAACAATCGCATACTGGCAACACCTGCGGACCCCGTATGGGCCCAAGGTACTTGTGCGTATGGTTCTTAAATGATTTGGCATGCTATGAGGGCAAGGCCGACCGCAATGGACCAAGGCAACTCCAACTGGGAGACGCACGCCCAGGAAGAAGCAGGTTCCGATCTGGCCCTGGATGATATCGGCAGGCCTTCGAAGCTTCTTGAAACCATTGCCGTTACTGTAGTTTTCTTTGATGGATTCTACAAAAGACTCTACAGGTTCTACATGGTTCTACAGCACTGTCCCTGTCCGAGCCTCACTCCGCCCTTGAAGAGAACCGGCTCATCGATGATCTCTGTGAGACGTTTGTAGCCGGCTGGCTTTGCCTAAAGGCGGCAGCCATTCAACTGCAAAAAACTGACTTATGGCATCTTATGGCACTCTGCCGAACCGGTACTGATGGTGGCGCAAGGCATCTTTGCCATTCAGCAGCGCGCGCACAGCGACTGATCATCTGTTCATTAGTTCGGGTTGAAACGGGGGGGCATTCTGCTGTTTGGTTGCCCTGGGAGCCTGGAAGCTCAAGCCACACTCAGAACACCTGGGCAGTGTGGCGCGTGACGCGGCCGGAAGCGGAGGAGGCTCGCCGACCAATCCTATCTCTGGCTGTGGCAGCCTTCCCAGCCGTAGCAGCTGCGACTGCACCAGAGTTCTCGTAGAGGAGGGCAGATGGGGCAATTGGTGGGGCAGGGACCCGGCAGAGGAGCAGTTTCAGCTCCGGCGGAAAGAAGCCCCTGCTCTGTGCCAGCTGCGCCGCAGTCTGACCATGCGTATCACGCAGAGACAGGATGGAAGGGCGACACCGGATGAGCAAGTGACAGAGCTCTAGGAGGCCACCATCCTTGCCATGAGGCTTTCTGCCGGCCCCTGCACAGGCATGATGCAGCGCAGTGCGGCCAAGGCTACAAACAACCTGCGGGTCACCGCTTGCCTGGAGCAACACGGCAGTTGTTGCCAAGTGCCCCTGGCGGCATGCCAAGTGCAACGGGGACAGCAGTCCTCGCCCCGCGCGTAGATTTGGACCTGAAGGCAGCCGCTCTGGACGGCCATAGCGGTTTGGATGTCGGTACTTACCAAAGATCTCCGCGAGAAGCAGCTCCACGATCTCAGCTCTTCCCATGTGTGAGGCTTGATGCAATGGAGTCAGCTGATCAATGTTGGTTGAGCACGCTTGTTGGCCATCTTTCTCAAGCAGCATTCTGCAAATATTCCTGTGGTCTGCAGCGATAGCCCACCACAGGGGAGTTTGAAGGCGGGCATCACGGGCACAGACGCGCGCCTTTGCCTGCAAGAGGATGTTGCAGATTGCCTGAGATCCAGAGCCGGCGGCAAAGTGCAAAGGCGAGCCACCACTCAGTTCGTCCCGCACCTCTACGTCAGCGCCCTCACGTATCAACTCTTCCACTGCACCGGTGTGATGTGTGAACTCGATGTCGCCCTGGAAGGTACTGCTAAGAGATGCATAGTATGCATCAACGCAAAGGTCGAGGACTGGATAAATCGAGCTCTTAAGTCTGCTCCACACCGGCTCGCCCTGGGCCCCTTTGCCCAAGTCATAGCCGCTCAGTGGCCCCAAGGGATCGTAGCTGGGCCGTGCGAGGGGCTCAAACACCGGCAGCCGCCTCACTGGCACTCCTCCGGTCTTCGCTCCAGGGCCACTCATGAGGAGCTCGACCACATGCCCACAGATCGATATGCAGCCTCCTGACTTCTAGCTAGATTCTAGCTGCTTGCGGGCTCATGGGGCGAATTTCCTGTCCGCTTGAGCAGAGTCAGAAGCAGAAAGCATCTATGAATCTGTGCGCTCATCTTCTTGCTATGTACAGAACATGGCCGCTTAGATGGCAATCGCAATGTGGGAGAGCAAGCCACATCTTGACTGACTCCTGTTTTCGACCACCCTTCTCGGCAATGCAGCACGAGATCCCTCCAATGCCCCTTCCAGAAGCGCGCCTATACCGGTAGGGTCTGGAACTATGAAAGAACCGAAAGAACCAAAGCAGTAGTTGCAACGGGCGCGTGCACGCTTCATTACACTTCCAGGTGGAAAGAGTCCAGCTTCAAAGTCGGACCAGCACTGGTCTCTGGATGCTGCGCGGCCAGTCCGCGAACGCACAAGAGACCTGTGCTAGATCCAACCGAAACGGCACAAGGCAGCAGGATTTGCTGCTCTTCAAACAGGACATTGAAATTCCCACAAGATGCTATACATGTCTCCTTGCGGTCCCCGATAAGGTCACGTTGGTGATCCATACGAGGTCGCCACATGCAGCTTGGATTCTCTGCACTGTTCCGTATCTCAAGGCTAGCAGCAGCTAGTGTCGGATTATTCTGCGGATTGTGGCGAAAACCCAGATCGACTACTCATCTTGTACAGCAGAACCATCACTCTCTTCCCCATCTGTTTTGGCGGCCTTCACCGCTCTCTCTGTTTCACGGGCCTCGAATGCAGCCGCATGAGGGTAGAAACACCTACCACTTGAGGACACAGATTGCTGCCCAGCATCTTTCAGGGTTTTTCGAATCCTCGCGCACGCCGCGTGTCTATTGAGGCAAACTAGTGGAACACTGCTACCTCCAGACTCCTACTATCCCTACACAGCAGACATGTCAGCACTCCAATTTCAACTTGCACCCCATTCACAAGCCACAAGCATGCCTACTTGTGACAGGGGATAACCACCTTGATTTTTCTGCTCACTGAGAGTCGAACTGAAGGCTCTCAGCGCACACACACACTCACACACACACACACACACACTCTTTACTTCCTGTCTTTTTTCTGCCTTTTTTCTGCCTTTTTTTCTTTCCTCTCTCTCTTGTTAGTCGTTCTTTCCTTCGCAAACGGAACCCCCTCAAGCGTCTTCGCCCGCCCCTGTATACAGCGGACGAACACAGCGGAACAGACCGGCCTTTCATTAACTGTCTTGTTGGCCTCATTCTTCTCTCTCCCTCCTTTTTCTTCTTCTTCTCCTCCTTCTTCTTCTTGTTCTGCTGCGCGCGTTGAGGCCTTTTGGATCCTTTCTCTCTCCCTCTCTCTCACTCTCTGCCCCTCTCCCTCCCTCTCCCTCCCTCCTTCTCTCTCTCTCTCTCTCTCTCTCTCTCTCCCTTTCTTTTTTTCTGGGGGAATGGGGGGAAGCCCCCGGGCGTCCCTGCCCGCCCTGTATTCGGGGCGCCCCCACTCCCTCTCCCTCTCCCTCTCCCTCTCCCTCTCCCTCTCCCTCTCCCTCTCCCTCTCCCTCTCCCTCTCCCTCTCCCTCTGTCTCTCACTCTCTCACACATGCTTTGGCCACCCCGGTCTTGTCCACACGCATCCTTAGTAGGAAGTGGTCCAGACTGTCGTCATGTGTCACCCAATCGGTTGTCGCTACATCAAACGCTCCAAGCGTCATCTTGACAAAGGCCTCGAAGTCCACGGTATCGTCAGGCTGGTTCTCGCCGATGTCCCGGGAGATTCGCTTGAAATCTTTGGGTGACAGCGGGCCTTGGCCAAAAAACACATCACGCTCTGGCAGGATCACAAGCTGATTGATCGGCAGCATGGCAGCTGCCAATCTCGCCCCGCCTATCAGGCGACCTTCTCGCAGGTCACGTAAAGACACCTTCCAGATATATATATATATATATATATATATATATGAGGGCAGCTTGGATCCATGCGCCATGCCTTGTCCCGTAAAGGGGAGGAAATTTTCTACTCGAAACCTACCGCGGCCCCCGAGAAACGAGAACTGGGAGGTGGAGCACCTTCAAAGAACGTGCGTTTACCGCTCACGTGCTTTAGGCCACTCCCCGCTCAGTGCTTTCTGCGGGACGTATGCCTTCATCTGGTACGGTACATATCAAGGTGTAAATACAATCCAGAACGTTTACTCTATGTGACTACTTGCACGGTTTTCAAGAAGAGTTTAGGCGGGGCAACATTCCTACCTGTTTTTATCATATAGCTGAACAGATACATAGCCTAAAGTTGCATACCCTACGTCGACTAAGTCCAAACCTCCCCCAAAAAGACCTACTCTCGAGAGGGTTGTGTCTGGAAAGGGCCAGCTGGAAGGAGAGGAGGCGAAGGCGGGAAAGAGTGCAATGGGCCGAAAGCCATATGTGTCATATGGCAGTTTGCTACTTCCTTCGTTAGAAAGCTAAAGCAGCTGCTGCTCCGCAGCATACCAAGAGCCCTGCAGCCGGCCTTCTGGTCTCCAGACTTGTCAAAGTTCTGATATGCAGCCTGGACCCACCGCATCCCACTCTGGGCCCGCTCTGGGCCCGCTCATTCCCGGCAGCTCCATGCTCCCAAGCCCAGGGCTCTCAGCATCTTCTCGCTCAGCCCTTTTTTCCTCTCGAAGGTTGCCGCAAGCAACTCCGTGAAGCGAACATCCTGCAGGCACAGCGACGAGATACAGATAGGGAGAGAGAGAGAGAGAGCGAGGTAGGCAGATAAGATAGCGAGATAGAGAGACAGGTAGAGAGAGAGACGAAGAGAGAGAGAGAGGGCAGGGTGGTGGCAGGAGAAGGGCAGGAAGGACAGAAAGAACACAGAGACTGAGACAATCCTCCTTAGGGGTGTCGTCAATGTCCTCGAAGCCACAAGCCTTCGTAGCAACAAAGCGAAGCAACCTCGACCCACACCGGGCGCCGCAGCGCACCTCACACATCGTGATCCATGGCACCTTCCGGTAGGGGGGAACCAGGCAATCAAGGAGCCTTAGACCTAACACATAGTGCGATGATGTCTTGCCACCTGTCCGCGGTACTCGTTGTCCAAATTCAGGAAAAACTCTCGGGCGGCATTGTTCTCATTCTCCGGGAGCATGTTTGCCTTAACGCAATGCTGACAAAGTGCCCTAAGTGCCGCAAAGTGCCTTTTGGGGCTGGGTTTGTTGCACAGGCCGAGGTCTCAACGATGACCCGAAGAGCTGACTGCTTCCACTTGTTGAAGCCCCTGAACCTGCACACGGCCGCTCAAGAAGGTTTGGAACTTCCGACCCTGCCACAGCAACTAGTGACATTGGTGCTGGCAAGCTCAGACCGGAACCTCACAACCCTCTCTGCATACCTAAGCACAAGGAAACAAGGCACCAGGATGTACCGAGCGTGGTCTCTTTTGGGCAGCCCTAGAAGGCTGGTGCGACTAGCTCGGTCCTGGTCGTGAACTTGTCGGTTCGCTTCCAAGAGAACATGGCACATCATGGCACAGTACGCAAGTCTCAGATCTCAGGAGGCCACGAGCTCGAAAAACCCGTTTGGGTTGAACTGTTCGAAGGGTTGGACTGCGGCGAGAGATGTGCATCGCCTGAAGACCAAGAAGTGAATCAATCAATTCGGC